GGGAGGGAAAGACTGCAGCAAGACCTGGATAGGTTACAGGGGTGGGCTGGAGTGGTGGCCATGCAGGAGGGAAAGTAGGGAAGTGGCAGGGGAGTGGCAGCAGCATGCAGGAGCATGGAACCCGTGCCAGTGCCCCAGGCCCGGTGGGAACCCAGGGTGGGATGGCAGGAGCATGGAGTCTGAGCATGCGGTCTGCTTGGCTGCATCACGTGAGGTTCACGTGCAGTCCACAAGCTGCGCACAATGGAGCTGGCAGCCTAGTCCTGCTCACTGCTATGCGCAGGGCATGGGGAATAGCTGGAAGCTCTGCACTGTGGAGCTGGGCTGGCTCCATCCCTCTCCCTGTCACCCCAGGTGAGCCCCATGACCTACACTGCCAGCTTCAACACACAGGGGTCGGTGGGGCTGGCTCTGCTTGCTGGCACCACAGGCAGCTCCAGGGATTCGCACGCTCCAAGGACTGAGGACCCCCCTACACACACATGCTCCACCCACCATACTCCACACCCTCCCACATACCCCAGCCCAACCACATACCCACACCCGACATACTCCCCCCATACATCACCTTACCCCCACCAACACACAATATACAAGAGTAGGACTGTATTTTAAGCTATTATGCAATTGCCTTTAGATACACTATGCAAGCACACATAAATCAGGACAAATATATTTTTAAATAAAATTAAAAGAAGTTATAGTAGTTGTTTATTTTTAAAGTATATGCTTTTTTTTCAGTTTCAAGAGGGCAGCACCCTCCCTCTCAAAACGAGCACTTCCAGGGCAAGTCAGGGGTTAGAGGTGGGACTTCTGGTCCCAAGATAGCAAACAAGGGTGGAGCACCCATCAAGGGGCAGGGCTACCCTTGCAGCCCTCATCAGCTCACCGAAAACTCATCAGGCGGCTGAAATAACTGCCCACTCCTGGGTAAGACCCTACTCCCATCATGGTAGTTTGTTCATATGCCACTAGCCCCTATTCTGCAAGATCTTTATTCCTGACCCATCCCAATCTCCAGAAAGTGATAAAAACGGGGTCATGAGACAGAACAAGGCTCTTAGAGCCAGACTGGTGTCAAGCATCCTACTGTGCATTTGCTTAGCTACACAGGCCTTGTCTACACGCAGAAGTTGTGCACATTTAAATGAGTTTAGACATTAGATGAGCTGAACTGAAGTAAATCCTTCACATGAGTACACATCATTTAAGTTGACTGTCCTGTACTGCTATAACTTAGATTGCTTCTTTAAATCAGTGTCCAAAACATTTAAGTAGCTGAAACAGTATCAATTTAGTTTTGTTTTGAATCACTAACTATATCATAACTGCAACTATTATTAAATTAATACTCTGATTTTAAAAGTAGTAAGATTTCTGTGCTATTCTCATCAAGATTATGGTGTTTTGTCAGCTAATGCACTGAGTTTATCTTATGTCCCAATTACATATAATTTGGGACAGAAAGACGCTATAGCACTAAGTTGTGACTCGATTAATTGAGTGTGCTGGAGTGTGGCAGTTACCACGATCCAGGAGACTCCAGCACCATGTGCATCAAAGTTCCCACTCTGAAAAATGGCGATGGGGGTGCTTTAACTTAAGCTCTTTGAACAAACTTAAGTTAAAGTACACCCAATGCCATTTTTCAGTGTGGGGATGCTGATACACAAGACGCTCCAATTTGAGCAGCCCTTGGAGGCGCTCTAATTAAAGTCCCACCCCCGCAGAGCACATCTATAAATGCCCTATGAGACTAATGAAACACCAGTAATTACTCTTTCATGCCTACAATGAAGATACGTGAATGTACAAGCAGGGGCACAGACGTTAGTATCCTTTCCCTGGGTATCAGCAGGTAGAAGCCTGTTTGGCTTTTTGCAGCTCATAGCCAGGACAGAGCACATGGCTTCACTTAAACCAATGCTTTGGCAAACAAATTCAAGTACAGTCATTTTCCCTATCACTTACCTGATTGTTCACTTTGGCCGGCGGCATGCATATAGCTCCTACCTTCCGAGCTTCTTCAAAAAGGTTATCGACAAAACACTTGTGGCTCTGTTCTGTACCATTGAGAAGCTGATCCTCGGCTCCTTGCTTACACATCCTGCATAATAAAAAGAAATCAGAAAGTCTCACTTAAGCTAGAGGTACACCGATAAGATTTTCTTGGCCAATACCGATAGCCAACTATTCACCAGGCATATCAGCTTCACTGATCCAATAACAAATTCACAGGAAAGCAGCCAGACAGCATGGAGAGCAGTGCCCTGCACGTAAATCTTTGGAGGGGAAGGGGCAGACAGAGGACCCCATGGTGAGAGAGAGAGAGAAGCAGGGGCTGGGGCCAGGGGTGCTGCCCAGCCAGGGTGGTGAATGGGACCCCAGGGAAGGGGAGTGAGACAGAGCCGTGGGCATCCTGGCACTTAAAAATGGTGGCAGAGGTGCTTGGACTAAAGCTCATCAAACGAGCTTCAGTTCAAGCACTGCCACTACTTTTAAGCATGGGGAAGCTTCTAACTAGAGCTAAATAGGGTGAGGGCAGATATGGGCTGCCCACTGCAGGCTCGGGGCTCTCCACCCTGAGAGCCGCACACTGGCTGTGCATCTCCTGCCCATTCAGCACGGCTGGTGGCAGCAAGTTGTGCCTCCCACTGCTGGACGGGCAGGGGATGCCCATCCAGCATGCAGCTCCTGGGTCAAAGGCAACAAAGACCCCAAGTCTGCAGCAGGCAGCTTGTATCTGCCC